CAAGTACACGTACCATCCTACAAGTTTCTGTGCAGGAATTTAGGAGGTCGTTAAACGCACCAATAATTCTTTGCTATTTTAATAAAAATGGAATGAATGGTTCGCTGAATTCACGAATAGCGTATGCGATTGATACTCGTGAAACCTCACTGGTTCAAATTCAAAGTACCGCAATGACTGTTGAACCTGATCGAAAAGATCGATGACTAAAACGATAATAAAAGTGAGGTTTATGACCCCGATCCACGAATCTAGCGCTCCACAGTCCCACTTAGACATATTTGCGTAGAATCAGAATTTCCTGGCTATATCATTTCTCGGTCAATTGGGATGTGCTGAATTGAGATTGAATGTTACCAGTCAATTTGATTCGGTGAAAGGGGTCGAACTGAGACCATTGCGTTTAAGGATGAAGATGGATAAAAATTGTGCTCGTTCGCATTCGGAGGGAGTGTTAATTCAAGTTTTTCTGCGAACCTCTGAAAAAAATAGCAGTACTTAGTACATCCATGTCACCCTATTTATGATAGCTTGTCCTGCCGATTTCAATCTACTTATTGTCCAACGGAAATCCAACTCATTTGAAATAGCTGAAACTGGAAACACATGATCCATCGCATCGAAACTTCGTCCATTGTGTCCACACGACCATGGTCACGTCACGGAATGCTGGGATGCACTCCCCTTTTATCTCAAAATATATCATCCCGCAGCATGAGGCAACAGAAACGATTGAAGAGCAAGCACCCTTGTACTGGCAACGGCGATAGAGCTCAAGATAATCATAACAGAAACGATGCTGATGAAATCTCACTTGACAGCCTTCCACCTGGTGTGCTCAACCAGTATGTACTAGACGAAGATGATGAATGATCGGACAACAATGGTGATGATGGTAATAACGGTGATGCGAATGGCGATGAACCATTGATGAGTGAGCAGCCAAACGAAGAAACAATAGAAAGCAGTACCAGAACTGATCAACCTGGACACCGTGACGAAAGTACCTGTCTAGACATTAACTTATTCACGCTCCCATGCCTACAATACGCCAACCTTGAATCACTTAAGATGATCTTACTGCTCAAGATTTAGTGGAAGGCCAAGAGGCTAAGTTGTTTATGCCTTCTATGCACAATAATAAAACAATTGATCTTGAGGCGTTTGAAAGGTTCTTGATTGAATGTGGAAAATCCGATTGTCTTGATACAATGCACTTTGAACGACTTCATGATATCCTATGTAAGATATCAAACGGCACAGATTTTTGGAACCCAACGACTGAGCAGGGTTGGGATGATCTGATTTTTTTATGTGAACTTGTTCTATGCTCCGCTTCCTTCGACAATGGAAGAGATCGAACGGAGGGTGAAAACGGCAAGATTGTGCAAGGGAACAGGCAAGAACAAACAAAATGTGAGCTTGTATGTTATTGCTTGTGCTCCGCTTCTCACCAAGTGTGATGAACCTAATCTACTACTAAGTTTATACGGGGAAGCGATGAGAGAACAGGGAGCGTCCGAAGCATCTGTTGCATCTGCTGAGGAGAAAGAGTCCAGTGGAGAGTACAAAGAGGATCTGACTCGTGGTCCTGCAAGACTGGAAAATGTATTGAAACATAGCCTCAATATTTACAATTACGTGGAGGAACAGAAAAAAACAAGACAAGGAAGGATATGAACACAAACTTGATATTACACTGGCAAATCTTGGCGAGAAGAGTGCGAAAGAAAGTGGAAGAGTGCGAAAGAAAGGGCAAGACGACAACGCGACTATGCTGCAAACGTGGAGAAACAACATGGAAAGAGTCTCAGTGTTTCGGCGCGACAGAGGCAGCAAGGCGTAGACATAACTCCATATGGCTGGCAGAGTCGTCTTCGTAAAGTGTCTGAAAGCCAAAAATATGAACGCAATGGTTCAAGAACTTCTCGATGAAAGCGACAAGGCCGCATACAATGAAGGCAAACCTGTGTCTATCACGTACACCAGTATTAAGGCTCTGATTGCCAATGACGTTGTCAGAAGATGGAAGGAGGAGCACAGGGACAAACCAGACGAAAAAGAGCTTCGAAAAACATTTCAGCCAATATCTGATGCAGAAGCTGTTCAGAAGGACTAGGCCCATTTCAAATACTTAAGCTTATTATTTTATTGCTGTTCAAAAACTCTTTATTGATTGTTGAGTGCTGTTCAGTTTATGTGCTGTCTCCTCTGGCGTCGGTAGTTATGCGATACATCACTATTTTCGTCAATTCGTTTATGACACAAAAATCGACTCATACGACTACAAGATACGTTTGCGCGCCACAATCGCGCATCAAAGTTCTCCAAGTGGGACTGTGGAGCGCTAGAATCGCGTGCCCAATATTTGGCCGGAATTTGGAATTCTGGTGACAAAGCAAAATTTTCAAAAAGCTCCTTTGCACCTAGAACCTTTTCAATGGGCTAGAGAATACTTTGATCATCCCTTCCAGAAAATTACGAGTCCCAATGAGCTCTTAGAGGGCCTCCACTACACAAAACAAAACGGCTGTTATTTGCCGTTACCCATTTTGACTCAGTCGACTTTAATTTGACTCATGTGACTACGAAGAAAAAACTGTAGAGGCCAGAGGCCGATCTCGTACCATACGACCTTGTTGCGATTACATTCTTAGATAAATTTCGATGCGGTGTTATAATTATATATCTTTGCTAGGATTATGTCCACTCTGAATCAGAGATCTTAGTGTAGAATCGATCATATTCCAGGCCATTCCACAAAGTCAATTGAAAAGAGTAGTAAAGAGAGGAAAAAATTATGCTAGCCTAGAATCTTTTTTCCACCAAAGCCCTCCAAACCACCGCCCAAATTCGATTACTATATGCATTTTGACAACTTTGAACTTTGTGCCATCGTGTAAGGGTATCGACTCGGCTACTGGGAAGGATTCTAGCCACATTCTTTGATGAACCAGGATTGATCCCCAAAGCAGTGTGAGTGCTACTCAATCACTTTTACCTAGAAAATGTCCACTCCAAAGCCACCAATCTTCTCATACATACCCATGGAAGACAAATATGTGTTAGAACAAGGCATTTTTAGGAAATTTGGCCCACACCACCACCAAGTGGCTTTTTGGACCAGATTTCCATGATTTCTGACCCCCTTTGGGCCGCATGATTCTTAATCTAGGGGGAACCATTGCCTGGGTCCCAGAAAATTTGAATAATAGGTATCCAAGGGAGGCTCTGGTGTATTGTTGAATGGTTGGCTGTCTCCAGGGCGGCCACGCCGACCTTCATGCTGAAAGGGGAACAGACAGCACCAAACACTGGAATTCCAATATCTCAGCGAATATTCCAAACAAAGCACAACCGAATGGATCCCCGAGTAGGTAAGATCACTGCCGAGCTTTCCAGCACATGTTGAATATGAGGCATTGACCCTCTTGACTTTCTGCCGACCAGTTTCTGAAACCCAACGGAACCAGCCGAACGAAGCAGGGCAGATTGTAGTGTAATTGAGGCGATTTGAAGTATGAACCGCCGCTCCAACGATAGTCTATCTATCAAATACGCTTGCCACACCATGTTCGGCGGTTTTTACTTCTCTGGGCGTCCACACTGGCTTGTCCAAACGAGGGGAACAATCGCACCATGGCACCTTTATGTGCTCCAAATTGTCAATTTTGGTATTTGGACACTACAAACGAGTCTCCGTGTAGATCTTGTCTTGATGATGACGGTAGATACGAGTCGCATTCGGCAAATACGTCTTCTTGACACCTCTCCGTCCAGTCCAAGCAACCAACAGAACCAATCATGGTGGATTATTGTGTGATTACGGCCAAGCAAAATATATTCAACATAATTACCGCCGCTCCCAACGTAATATATATATCAACTATGCTTGCCATAGCCTCTGATTCCACTTTCTCCACGCCTGGGGTCCAGGCCGTGCAATTTCCTTGTGACCGACGAACTTGCAACTCAATGGTCTCGGATGAAAATCGTCCTGTAGGAACCCAGATAATGCACATTAAATGGTATCATTGCCGTTAGTATAATAAGAGAAGCAACTTCCGCAGAAAATTCTAGCTCTATGTTGCCTTGGGACTTCGTAGACGTCCCGAAACCTCTCCAAAAGTAGTTTTCAGACCTTGTTGAGGTTCTTTAGCAGTGATTTCAGAGGTGAAAGGAGCAAATTCATCCATATCGCTTCATACAAACAAGATACAGAAGGTCATTGTACAGAGACTGTCCGCGACCCACGAGTTTTCCTCCAGAGGGTGATGCTTTCCTCGGCCTCGAGGCTCACCATTGCCGATGGAAGGGAAAATTGATGTGATTGAAGAATTCTCAACGGGCGAGCGCATAGAGGTGCGCGATGGGTTCCGAAACTGATGACGTACGGAAAATACCGGGTTCGCGCTCAAATTCTACCAAGCGCCTCGTTGAATTTTGCTTAGAACCAAAATAGAAGCAAAATGGCATCCAAGACATCACCTTTGTCAACACTACCATGTGCCGATACTACAGTACTGAGGGAATACGTAACAAAGCCGGCCTATTACCTACAGACAAGCCTAGACTACATTACCTACGACTCTTCGTCTTCTTTAATTCATTCCACTCTCTTCACAGCGGCAGTCTTCGCCATTCTCATCAACATCTTCATCAATTGCCACCAGCAACTGCCACAGCAACACTGGAAATCACAGTAGCTCTCCAACATAACAACCAACAGACCTTATACCTCGGGGACAAAGTCAGGGAAGCGAAAAGGAATTCTTCAATTGTCACTTGTCGGTCGTGTCGTTTCGAGCCTATATTCTGCAGTAGCTTCTTTCATTTTCTCGATAACTATCACACACCACTTCTCTGACCTTGCATGACTGCAAATCGATCTGGTGGTACACGTATCGTAGATGATGTATGTGTTGCAGGCGGCGTAGTTACCTACTTTAGCTTCCGTTTTCACCGTCAATCATCTTCCCATCGTGAATGGTGATGCGAATCAGTAAATTTGTCGTCACAAGATCAAAAATTGTCGCAAACTACTTTTGAGTATAGGGCTAAAATCGTCAGCCCAATGCGCGTCGAACCGTCAAATCGGCGTTCCTATGCGACGTCTTCTAAAAATGACCATTTTAAATTTCTATGGTGATATTTTTTTAGCGATGGCCAAAAGATGGGGTGAAAAAATCTCCTTTTTCGTGGACTCGGGTCTTATTTTAATAAATCAATACCGCCATTTCAATTAAGGATTGACATCGCTTTCTCGAGTTACCTACGCAAGTTGGGCATCACCAAAATAATATCTTGTTATTAACCCTTATGTATATCCAGGAATGTCTGGGGGTCCGTACATTTCCACGGCGCCTGCGGCGCCGCTTGTGCGCATTCTGGCTTGAAAACATTGCGTCGAGTTCTTGCTCCTCCACTTTGATCCAAACTTCTTCTCACCCATTCTTCAGCTGTCCCTCCAGGGATTGGAAAACGATCACAATCCTAATGACCAAATCAGTCATAATCGATACATCGTACAT